TACGTGCGCGCGCACGCATGCAACACACACTACACACAATACATATACATACTTATATATTTATAGTCGATTATATTAATATCTATATACACTTTCTTTTTAGATGTCAACGATGTCAACAGTTTTGACAACAATGAAATAAGAAATGAAGAAATATTCAGAGATGAAGGTAAAGATATGTATGGATAATTTCAGTTTGCATGTGTATATATGTTATACACATCCATGCATATACGTATATATGGTGCGCACGCACATACGTGCGCGCGCGCGCGCGCAAACACACATTTATTCACGCAGACATACACATACACGCACGAACATATACATACATATAATAAGAAAACAAAGATATAGGAAGTACTAAATAATTTATTTTTATATAATTCAATGTCTTTTTAACTGAACTGATTGGATTTCCTTCAAGGGAAAAAAGATAAACCCTGAACTAATATTATCAGTTTAGCTAAAAAGAAAATTCTTATTATCTTAAACATATATGATATTTTTAACTTGTATGCGTGAAATAGTAATTTTATGGCTGCGTACAGTTTGGGCGCTTACTCGCTGAAAATGTCATTCTAATTTTCTTTGATATATGAGACATAAAGAATGATGCTTCCAGCGTATAACCCAAATCGAACGCAGCCTTTATACAAAGTGTTAATTGGTGAAAAAACTTGCTGGCAGAGATAATTTAAAGATGATTTTTTTCAGTGAAAATATCGAAATGATAATTTATAGACGTTAGATATAAACATTTAAAAAAGTACTTTTTGCAAATTAAACTTTTTGGGACTAAAAAGTTACCAAAATTACTTCTCTATAGTTTACTTTAATAGAATTTTTATTTAAGACTTAATTACAAAGATATATGATGACAAAAATTGGAAACTTGCAAAAAATGACGTTTTTCGACATTTTCGCTGAGGAAAAATTATCAAATAATCTCAAGAATCTGTCAACAGGTTTTTCACTAATTATAGAACATCTTGTGTATACATGTGTATACATATTGTGAAAACTTTCAGAAAAGAACAGAAAAGGTACTATTACAAATAATGCTACTATAACAAAGAAGGCTATAATTGTATTGGAAAGAATTGACAATATTGACAAAAAAGAACATCCGTAAGGATAAAAAGGTATTTTATGTGTGTACGTGTGTATATAAACGTGAAACATTAAATGTTTTGTAATTATAACTTTTATTTCCATTTTAGAAAAGTTAATCGTCTGTGTTGTAATATACCTCACAACACTGGTCTTCACAGATAATTAAATAAAACACCATTAAAGAAAATGTTACAACCAAAAAGTCAACATCATCAAAGTCAAGCAACTTGCAGAATATAACTTCGTCAGCGACTCGCGCACCGTAACAAATCTTATTGAGAACAACAGGGAATCTCGTTACACAGTTAAGTTATATAGTGAGCATCTTTATGAAGAAAATTATTAATACAAGTAGCAAATACACATGTATGCCCACATGGTATAAATACAATGCAAGATTTTTCAGAAATACAGATAATACAATGACCTTCCGAGCGAGGTTTCCTGTTGTTCTCAATAAGTTCTTCTCATCTTATTTTTATAAAGAAATTTTCACGTTAGATGCAGGCCATTAGTGCTGTCTAATAGTTTAGTTATTATGTTGCTTGCGTAATATACAATTTACGAAATAATCATTTTTATATAGTTTTCGTATAATAAGTTACACAGTGGGCATTTTTTATGAAGAAAATTATTAATACAAGTAGCACATACACATGTATGCCCACATGGTATAAGTACGATGCAAGATTTTTCAGAAATACAGATAATACAATGACCTTCTGGACGAGGTTCCCTGTTGTTCTCAATAATTGCTTGCATATCTTTTATTTCATGAAAAGTGATTTCTGATGATGTAGTACTTTCTTCTAAAAATCCGTAATCATCTTCTGGAATTCTATATACTTCTTCATCTGTAAATTAAAAAAATATTATTTTCAAACTATATGTATTATTAAGTATAAAAAAAGTTAAATATAAAACAAAAAGTAGTTTAAAGAAATCATTTCTTTATTGTTAAATCAACATTTGAAAAATCTTACTGTAAATTGCATTTTCAGCATTATTCTTTTCAATTTCTGAATTATTAGCAATCTCATTAATAATCTCATTATTCTCTTCTGTTTCCAAATATTGATTATTATCATTATCCTTTTTCATTTCTGAATTTTGGGTATCATCATTATTATTCTTCTCTATTTCTGAATTTTCATTATTATTTTCTTCTATTTCAGCACTTTCTTCTTGTACTAACATCAGAATGCTATTCAAAGCACCTGAACTGTTTAATCCTAAATGTGTTTCATTTATTTTCAACATCATCTACAATAAATATTTAATATAAAAAATTAATTAGATAATAAATATTTACAATATTTATATACAAATATGCCGTTATATGCAAATATTAGATATATATATTAAATATATAATATTAGATATATTAGATATATTATGTTTCATTATTTTGAAGTATTACCTGCTGAAGACTGAATATTTTCACAATTTTCCCTACAATTGATTCTTCTAGTGTGTGATCTTTTGATTAGACTGATTATCTATAGGTGTATCTACAAACACATATAGTATATGTGTGAGTGTGTGTATTGTGTATGTACACACTTCATGTAGGTGTATATGTGATAAATTATCATCGAATCGACATCAAATTGATGTTAAATCGATGTATTTTACATCAATTTGATGTCGATTCAACGACTCATTTCTCACTGGGTATATGTATATGCATATACACATGCACACAAACACACACAGTTATATGAACCCTAGTATGTAAATAGACACATAAACTTATTGTAAAAGAATGTAAATATGTATATAAACTCTTATTAATATAAATAAATAACCTATACTATAAATAAATAACTTATACTTACTAAAAGTTTCATCTGACAGCAAACTTCCTTCTATTTCATCATCAGCAACATCTACAAATAAATAAAGGAGTATAACAAATAAATAAGAGATAGTATACAACATTCAATTGTTATAATAAATTTTTTACATATTTTTACTTAATTTTTCTATTATAAAACAAAATAGTATATTATATAGAATTAGGGGCAGCTCAAAATTCAGAAATGGAAAAATGATAATGATAATAATCAATATTCGGAAATAGAAGAGAATAATGAGATTACTAACGATAAGATTGCTAATAATTCAGAAATTGAAGAGAATAATGCTGAAGATGCAATTTACAATAAGTTTTTCAAATGTTGATTTAGCAATAATGTTTTCAAAAATTATAAAATATTTAAAAAATTATTTAAAAATATATACATTTTATATACCTTGCAGCACTTCTGATTGTTGAGTACATTGTTGAGTAAAATGATAGAACATACGTAAAAATTGTTTTAAGGAAATGCTTCCATTCATAAGAGAATTCTATCCTCCTACAATTTGTGCATTTCTTTGATTAGTGAATCGCGTAGAAGATCGTCTAGAACGCACATTATTTTGTAGCCGTCGATAATCAAGTTCTTGATTTGATATAATTTGTGTTAATTGCTAAATGATCTGTTAAATGTGTTAATTTGCTAAATGATCTGTAAAACCACATGTGCACATATCCATAAAGCAAACTAAATGCAGTAGAAATATGATTATTCCACAAAATATTTACCTACCTAAAAATATCCATAGCTAGATTACGTGTATTAATTTTTTGATTGGCGGAAGATGGAAAGATTCAACCAAATTATTAGTACGAGCAGGACATTTAAAAACAGATACTTTTGATGCTATAGGTAACCAAGTAGTACGCAAGTAAGCTATAAAGAGTAAGATATTAGGATGAGTTATACAAACATTATCAGCAATAGTTTGCATAATGTTCAATGATTCGTGGAATAAATTACTTGGTGCTAATGCCATTGACATAGCTGTAGATAATAGTTCTCGAGGTGCACTATTCAGTTGTAAGTTTCGCCATTTCCTAAGAAGACCCTAAAAATAGTAGAACCATTTTAATATTATAATGGCCATTGTTTATTAAATGTGTATTACTTATATATTCCCAGATAGGATTTACCAAATAGGAAAAATTAAGTTTTGCTATAATTGTTGTAAGATCAGTCTGCAAAATGCACATCTTTGTTAAAAAACAATTTTGCAATTATACAATAATAAATGCTAAGAAAATAATTAAAAAAATTGATTTCGAAATAATATGTATGTATGATATACGTGTTATACATATATCATATACTGGTATACGTGTTATACATACAGGGTGACCAATGGGAATGTGTTGAAAGTAAACGGTTATATATCCCCTCCTCGATTTCGGTAACTGTTTTACCGACTAGGGTCCGCTACCTAAGACTCGTCAATTTCATTTGAACCGTCGTATAAAACCGATTTGCGAGTTATAGGATGGACGCGCTATCGAAGAAAAAGTGTTTCTCATCGAGTGCTTCTATAGTAGAGGCAAAAACTATAGTCAGGCGTATCGTGGATTCCGTAGTAAATATGGATCTAAAAAAGTTTCAAGCGAAACAATACTCAGAAGGTATGTTTTTTGATACTTTTTACCCACGCTCCCTCTCCCTGGAATCGCGTCATCATTCCAATGTTGGTTAGGTAAGATTTTATTTTTATTTGTCGATATTTTTTGGCAGGATTATTGATAATTTTGGTATGTATGGCACTTTGAACGATCGTAGACATGATTTATCTGGCCCATCTCGTACCGTTACAACGGACGAAACAATTGATGACGTTAGAAATTATTTTGACGAAAATCCAAACACCTCGATTAGGAAAGCTGCTCAGGTTTTGGATTTAAAGCGAGAAACTCTCCGAAAAAATAATGAGAGACGTCATTAAACTGCATCCCTACAAAATCACTACACATCAATTGCTGACGGATAAAGCGATGGAAAAAACGATTTGAGTTTTGTAAGGTGATAACCAATATGTTTGAAAGTGAGGAACTCGATGAAAAACAAATAATATTTACGGATGAAGCTCACTTTTGGTTAAACGGATATGTCAACAAACAAAATTATCGGTTTTGGGGACAGGAAAATCCAAACGTGTCTATTGCCGTTTCTCTTCATCCTCAAAAGGTCTCCGCGTGGGCTGCAATTTCTGTAAAAGGGGTCTACCTGCAATTTTTTGAAGGAACTGTGACTAGTCAAAGTTATAAAGAATTATTGGAGACTAAATTCTTTCCCCATGCAAAGAAACGCGAATTAGTAAAGAACTTCCATTTTATGCAGGATGGCGCGACCCCACATCGTACACGCGAAGTCTTTGAATCGATACATGAAGTGTATGGCAACAGAGTAATTGGATTAGGATACCCGAAATTTGCTCATGGAGGTCTGGAATGGCCTCTTTATTCACCTGATTTGAACCCGTGTGATTTTTTTCTTTGGGGTTACCTCAAAGACAAATGTTACGCCGTCAACCTCAAAACACCGCAGAGCTGATAAATAGTATTAAAAAATGCACTCGCAGCATTCCTACATCTATGTTAGATAATGTATTTCAAAGTTTTTGCAAACGATTGCAGTTCTGTGCTAATTCTAATGGACAACACTTTGAAAACATATACCATTAATTCATATGCGCAAGCGAAATTTTTTTTTTTTTTTATATTGTGTATTTCAATTGTTAAATTATTATATTTCTCTTTCATATATGGGTAATTCTTTTACAAACCGGACGGATTGAGGCAAAATCTGACCGACACATTTTTTATTTGGCTGAAACTTTTTCTACGGATTCTATATCGAAAAAAAAAGATACGTGTTCGAGGAATTTTTTTTTTTTTTTTTTTTTTTTTTTTTTTTAATAGAGAGGATTAAAAGTTTAAGATTTTCGTGATTTTTGCTTTGGAGACTCATTTTCAAAAATTCATAACTCCGGTTCTTTTTAAGCTAGAAAAAACTTTTTTTTTCATTTTGAAGATAAAAGAGTGAATTTTGAGAAAAAATATTTCCAAAAAAATTTATAAAAAATTTCATATTGTTATAAACAATTGAAATGTTTAAATCAATTTTTGACCATGGCCTCCAAATTTTAACGATTTCTTAATACAACCATCGTATTCTACGTCAAATTTTCTATAAAATACGTATATTTTATTAATGGAGAAATTATGTTTACTGGTAGAGATAAATTAATTTATCTAGCGCGGCACGTCGTATCGGCGCGCAGGTACCTCTGCACGCCTCTTTTTCTAACCCCACATCGTTTTTCTCAATAACATTAATGATTATTCAACTATTAGTCTATTTTGTCAATCGAGTACAAATTATTATTAGCAAACAGGACTTTATTATTAAGTGAACAAAATAATAACATGTTAGCAAATGAAAAAACAATTAATTACGATTTTAATAAAATTTTTCTTAAAAACGTTATTTATCAGTAGTTAATAATCTCCTACTTAATTGTATATATACATATAATTATAAATAATAGATTAAACTACAATCATTAACGCTAAAAAATATCTAAAATAAATAAAAGTACTTGTAAAGCACTAAAATTTTGAAGAGTCGATTTACTTAAATAAGGATTTGTCGTTTCACTATCGGTTTTTCCACTTTTGAATTTGGCGGATTTTGGTCACCAATAAACTTCAGATGGCGACAAGAGCTCAAGATACACTGGTCGCCCTGTCGCCCGCCACTGCCAGTAAATCTCGTACATTATTATCTTTTTTCTCTCTTAAAGCGTCGAAAGTTTGATTCGAAATCTGTGGTATTAGAATTGGTTTATTAATAATTTTACTACCCGCGAGTGTTTTTCTGATCTCTGTCTGGTAGTTGATGAAACTTTTGTAACTCTCTTGGGATTTGTTGGCTCGTCTGGACTTACGTATCTAAACTATAGGTTACGAAACTATCTTTGAAGTGTGCAGACAGATCATGCGAAAGACAGGTGAGGAAAATGTAATAGTTCAATTGTTAACAAACTACGTAGATAATTAGCATTAATTTTTTTAACACTAATCAGTTAATATTTATAGCATATGTGTCCAGTATTTTAGGGAACAGGCAATATAATTAAGAAATAGACCCTAAATGGCGCTGTAACAAGGCACTGACGAGTCATCTCGATTGTTTTGACTGACCACACACACACGCGCTGCGCGCATACATACACACGAATAATTGAAAAAACGTTGAATACCAACACGATGCCTAAAAGAGTGGCAAAAAAAATAATAGGCACGAACGTTCGCACCGACAGATGTTTCAATCCTTTTGATTTGAGTGGTCACTCAAGTAAAAGCGCTGCGATTGCGAAAAGTTACCAAAGATCAACTACGTCAACTAAATGTATCCAATAACTGCTGAGGCATTAAAAAAACAATTTGCGATTCCTGTCGTCTGCGCATCTCAAAAAGTATAAACGAAAATAAAGATACAGATGCAGTTGAAATGGTATTAATTATACATGAAGTCTATCGAGTCTATTTACTTTTTAATCAATTTTCGATGCTCATTATAAATTTTTTATTCTTTACAGCAAGAACATGAAAAAGAACCATCTAATGAAGAATCTGATGTAAACTCGAGTAGTGAAGGAACCTCGGGATTTTCAGGTGGAAACGAAAAGTTTTTGAATGACAGAGTTGATCGTTTAAATGAAGGATTACGTTTCTTGGGAGCATCACCTATTAAAAAACGCAAATTAACTCAAAAACGTTATTCCGAGGAAAAAATTAAAAAAATTACGGAGGCGATTAAGAAAAAAGTTTTTCATGTAAACGACGATGGTCCAGATGATGTTGTGAAGATGATGATGATGATGTCACAATTTTAAGAACCTTACAAGAAGTTTCAATACCAGTACAGACCGATCTCATAAAGTTAAAATTTGACTATTTTCAGACACTGGTCTTATCAGAAAATCCAGGTGCACTTTCCCACAGCTACTCGCCATATGATAACTATTGCAAAAAATATTGCTAAAGATAAAGGAATATTAGGCGATCCAAAATCCCAAAAAGCCATCCATCTTTAGGAGCAGATGTTACAAATAGCATAATGAACTTCTACAGTCTGATGAACACACACAAATTATGCCCGGGAAAAAAGATTTCGTCTCCGTGATAGTGGATGGACACAAAATACAGATGCAAAAACGCCTGATTTTAAATAATTTGAAAGAATTGTATGAACTATTTAAAAAAGATTATCCAGAAATGAAGTGTAGTTTTTCAAAGTTTAGCAGTATGCGACCAAAACACTGTATGCTGGCAGGAGCCAGTGGCACTCATTCGGTGTGTGTGTGTCCGATACACGAAAATATTAAACTCTTGATAGATGGGCGAATTTGAAAATGTATCACAGCTGACTCCAAAAGACCAATTACTAATTATCATGATTGTTTGGATCGTATGATGTGTGATGTCAATCTACTAATTGTTTTTTGGGATTATGTGATAAGTGCCCTGGTGTAGAAATATTATTGAAGAATTACAACAAACTTTCGATGAAAACTCATCGAAAATGTTAAGTACAAACAGTGGGTGACAATAGACAGAACTTCACTACAAACTTAATATCTACTGTTAGATGAATTTTTACAACTTTTAAGTAATGGCTTGAAAAAATTACTGCTACATTCTTTTTTAGTTAAAAAAACAAATGGAATTCTTGAACTATAAGAAAAAAAAATATAATGAAAAATGAATGCATGTTATATGTGATTTTAGTGAAAATTATGCATTTGTATTACAAAATTCTGTACAAGGTGTCACTGGAATAATGATCAAGCAACTATACATCCATTCTCAATTTATTATAAGATAATGAAGGTGAAGTAAAAGTCAAAAGTTTCGTTTCCATTTCTGAATGCTTACATCATAACACTATGCTGTTCATCTCTTT